TGTCCTTCCCCGAACTCCAACTCAATTTTCAATTATTTTCTTTTAATTAGTGAGTGAGTGTGTGGCGCAGATTGTAAGGAGGCAAAGTTTCAATTCAATTATCGCTTTGAATATATGTATATATGTTATATATATGCATGTAAATAATGCCAACATCTGAGGCTGACAAATGAGAATTTCCTCAATTTTTCACTGGCTTGTGCTTTGTTTCCATTTCCTTCATCACTTTGTCAGCTTTGTCACTCAGTGCGTGGGTAGCGACGAAGCCAAGGACATCGAATTTCAAAGAAAATTTCCAATCATCAAATAGATATAGAGGGAAGGGGGGAGGGGGGAGCAACAGGTGAACAGGGAAAAGCTAAGATGGCTGAAGGGACCTCTAAATAAACAGTTGGAAATAGTTATTTTTCTAGCTCTTGGTTTTTAATATAACAAACAAGACTGAAAGACTGAACGACAGAAAGATAGAAAGACTAAAAGACTAAAAGACTGAAAGACTGAATGACTGAATGACAGAAAGACAGAAAGACTGAAAGACTGAAAGACTGAAAGACTGAAAGACTGAATGACTGAATGACAGAAAGACTGAAAGACTGAAAGACTGAAAGACTGAAAGACTGAAAGACTGAAAGACTGAAAGACTGAAAGACTGAAAGACTGAAAGACTGAAAGACTGTGAAGACTGTGAAGAGCGGCTTTCTATAAAAATCTCTTATGAATGGCTTTACTTATCTTACTCTTTAGAAAAGCTGTTTGAATTTTCCTTATTTTATGACCAGACCAAGTTGGGAATTCTAAACATCTTCAGCCGCAATGAAATCCCCAAAACCCTATATTATTAGGTCCATTACCAGATCCTTTTCTAGCCCTAACTGGTACCCATTCCTCTCTGCCCGAGTGTGAACCTTGTAAATTATTATTAAGTGCTTTTCATTTCCAGCTTGCCATCATCCAATAACTGAAACGAGGCGAGGACGGAGCCGGGCTCCCAGTTCCCCTCTACCCTGTTTTGTGGACTTTGTAGACGGCAATCCGTCAAAGTCAAAATTGCGACAGTGGAAATGATAATACTTCTGCTGCCTTCAGTTGCAATTTGTTTTGGGCAGGAGGCAGGAGGTATTGCCAGCATCCAGGGATGGGGGAATCTGCGGAATGCCTGCTGGCAGGACGGAAATAAATTGTTATTAATGTGCTTGCTTGCCTGTGGCTCTGGTTTTGGTTATGGTCTTGGTTCTAGTCTTGGTCCTTGCTCCTGGGGTGTGGTTCGTCTTCATACTGCAACCAGCTATGGGGTTGCTACTACCCAGTCGATAAATTATTTGGCAAACGCGCGCCAAAATTGTAAATATCTTGATGCGCGGACCGAAAGCCCCCCAATAATGTGAGCCAATTTAATGGGATGGCCACTTGTTGAGGAGGCATCTTCCAGCCGTAAACTGTTTACGGCCAGAGCTCAAATTGATTTGTGCCCAGCGCGAATCAAATCAATTGCATTTGGGGAATGGACATGGCGATGGCGATGGCGTCTCCGAAGGTAATCATAACTGGAGCGGGGCTGTGGCTGGCTTCCCTTTGCCGGTCATAAAGCGGAAACAGTCCTGCGACTGCCGCCATAAACGCCGAGATGAGCACAAAACGTTAGGGATGTCCATAAAAAGAAACTGGAAAAAAAAAAGAAAAACACCGGGCAAGGACACCCACAGCGTTCCAGGACGACTCATTCGCTCCGCATCCGCAAAGCCACATCCAAAAGGAACCGCCATCAAGGCCACCGAACGAATGACTCGGGATCTGCCAAGGAATCCTTTGCAGGACGCCCCGAGGCCTCGTTAAATTGCGTGCAGCATCCGGCCCCGCCCCCCACCCTTCCTACACGGAGCGAAAAATAAAAAAAGGGGAACAGCTTGCAACTTGCATATCATTATAAAGTTTTGCAATTACCAGATCTACTTGGAATATTGAAGGGGGAGAGCCTGACCATAAATTAGCATTCAATATTCAGAAAGAAAAACTGTGAAAAACTTTACAAGCAATTCCCTTTGAATAAATAACAACCATAGTGCGAAAACGGATCGTTTGCGAGCCTTTTGTGATATCTTTTGCAAATGCAAGTGCAGTAAAACTATTGCAAAACACTCGCAAAGATGTTAGAAATGTTTTAAAAATATATATATATATTTCAGACGGTTTTTGTTCACAAAAGAGTCCCTCTGCGAACATTTAGCGAGACTTAAGTGATAGCTCGCAAAATTTGTATAGTTTCTAAGTTCATTTACATAGGTTCGTTTTATTTAATTTTTTGTTGTCATTTTTTTTTTACTTTTTCTAGCTTTTTTGTACCAATTATGCAATTAGTTTAGGACAAATATAATATTTATAAATTTATACAAAAGAAACCAACCTAAAGCGGACTTATTTTCCGCGTTGCCAAGGAAGTTTCTATGACGAGCTCTACTCCTGTTCCCGATGCCTGGACCCACGCTGGGTAGCCAACTTATTTTTTCTCCGTGAGCCGAGGACACTCCTCAATCCACCTAACTTTCCCAACCATCCCGTGGCGACTGTTGTCGTTTATTTGCATTTGACTGTGCGCAGTGGGCAAAGTATTCAAAACAGATTTGTTGGCCAGATTGTAGAGCGCTAACAGTTCATTACCCAAATGACTGTGGGGCCAAAAAAGGAGCGGATCGAGGCGGACGGGGGGGCGGGCGACAGCGATTTGGCTGAAAAGGTTTCATTACAATTTCGGGCACTCGCCGAATGGAAAACTTTTTTCAGACTACACCCACCCACCCCCTGAAGTAGTTTGAGATTTGATTTAAAAGTTGAAGCCATGCCCCCACCAAGTTTTAACCGCCTTCAAGGGGGACAGGGTGGGGTCGAGGGAATTGCTAACTTTTTAATAGTTATTCATACAAAATCATTTACGAGTGCCCTGCCAAGAACCCAGGCTCTGAGGGTTACAGTTTCCCAAACTCCCAGCATCCCTGTTTTTTTTCCCCCCATGTGCCGCAGCATATGTGTGTGTGGGCGGCATGAGGAAAATGAGGAAATAGGGAAACTTTTGTGGAAAGTTTCCAGTCGCAAAGACCAAGCTTCCCGCAGCGAAATAATTATGCAGCTCCCAATAACATCGTCACTCTGTGACTCGCACCTGGCCGCCACTTGACCAATGATTGACTGATGGTTGCCCCAGCTCCTGAGCCAGAGCCCGAACCAGGCCAATCCTGATGGATGAATTAAACCTCTCCGCTCCCCCCCCAGTGTAAGCTCACCTGAGATAATACTCTGTCCTCCTTACTTGCCATCCGGCAGAGCCATTTAATGAGAAAATAACTTGGATGCGGCCATAAATTCATTTCCGCCCTTTGTTTAATTTCCTTTGCTATCCGAAAAACTTTCCGCTACGCGCGAATTCATATGTAATTACAATTACGATGTAATCTCAGCGCGAGGGGACAGACTCCAGCTGGCTCACCTGCTTCTGCTCGTTCTCCTGCTCCTTCTCCTGCTTCTCCTTAGTGCTCAGGTCATGGTCATGGTCGAGGTAGCACTGTGGGCGCCAAAGTTCGATGCTTGTGTGGCCCCACTGTCGGCGAGGTGGCTCTGAATTGGCGCAAAGTTGATTCAATTAAGACTTTTCGCCTGGCAATCGATAGACATCAAAGAGCAGGTGCAACCAGAACGAACACCTGCCCCGTGCCCTGGACGAGGCCTCATTCTCGAGGCTCTGTAATTATAAAATCAATGGCAGTTCTTTGGTACGAATCAATTTCAAATGTCAGTCAATGAACTTTTTCTTTAAATGTGCTTCATTGTTAACCTGATTTTTGTTGGGGTTTTAGAGGGTATGATAATTACACCTTCAACTGTCTAAAAAAAAAACCATAAATCGCATTGAAAATATCATAAATTTTGATTTGTTATTTGATTTTGGATTAAGTTATTTCTTTATAATCAGTTAACATTTTATTACTATAAAAATTTTCGAATTTAATATTAGAAAATTGATATTATTGAAAAAAGTATTTTAACAATATATATATTTTGTAAAAATCTAATTTTCTTTAAACTTCATTTAATACCTCTCTCGTTGGCGCTCTCTAGATAGTCTCTTCAGGTAGTGATCGCACCTCTTCGTAGTGCTGGAACAAACATCGATGTTTATTCGATACAGTCGATGTTTTTAACAAAATCGGCCAACATCGATGTTCATTTGTCAAACATCGATTATTTTCAACTGTCACTTAAAAACCGAGCAAGAAGGCAGAATTGGTATACTAGATCAACAATTTTTTTAAACATCGATTATTAATCGATGTTTTTTATGAAAGTACTCACAAACATCGATGTAAGCAAACATCGATTTCGATCATGCACGGTCGATAACAATATCCAATGTGTGCACTTAGCGATAGTTACATTACATTACAAAAATATAGGGTATACTAACTTTGTCCCTTCAAAATGAGCTTCCTTTTATGTTTAAATTATAATGATTGTTGGATAAACTGTTCCTCCTTTGAAGTAGGGAAAATCGTATTAATTATTTATGCGATAAATTGAGGCAGGAAAACATGTTATTGTTAAGGTACTACTTTAGTACATATAAATATATATGTATATATATATATATATATATATATATATATGTATATATGATATATATTTGTGTATATATATATTACCAGGGGAACCCGGCGGCGAACTTAAATATATTAACCTTTTGCAGCAGTGAATCTTAATTTGAAATAATAATAATTTAAAAATATAAATGTATATAATTTAATCAATTAATTAATCTAAAAATGATTTGTATTTAAACCTAAATATATATATAAATATTTAGTTAATTAATGTTTTTTTGTTGGGAATATATCCTTTTTCTTATACCGTTGGAATTTTTCTATAATCATAATTAATATTAATAATATTTAAAATTATAATTATTATTAATAATTTAAAATAATTAATAACCTATATAAAAACTCTGATTCCAGGAGTACATGCCCCAGCTGGCGGGCATCGGGCTGTGCGTTGTCAACCTCATGGACGACATGCAGGAGTACACGCGAGGACTCTTCCTCCTAATGTGAGTGCCGCCGCGAGCCTTGTTCCAGTTCAGTTTGGATGTCATCTGTGGCATGTTTCGATTTACAGGTACTGCGGCCCGGCCATTTTGCTGTCCTACCTGTACATACGCACCTCGCAGGAGCTGCGTCCGCCCGAAGGACCCTTTGCCGTGATGATGTACGAGCACCGTGCGGACCTGCGGATGCGTCAGAGGTGAGTTTCAAGATTCGTCCAGCTTCGCCCACCTTCTCCTACTTTCTCCTACCTTCTCCCACCTTCCCTCTCCTTCCCCCCTCCCTCACCCACCTTGTGATTAAGTCCACTAATTGGGCTGATTAATTCGGAGATTCACCAATCAGTGGGAGGCTGGGCTGCTGCTGCCCGGGTAACCCGAGTCCCTTGCCACGTGGACCACCCTTTGGGCCACCACTAATGAGCCTTAGCAGTCTTCTTTAACGAGTTTGAATTTCTTGAGTTACTTTTGCACCACCTTAAGCCCATCCTGAAGACTCATCATTACCCCTTTTTCTACTTGGCAGAAACTCCTCTACATCCTCGGTGGAGCCACGCCAGCTAAGTGGCGGCGGTGTGGCCGGTCTGAGCAATGGCGGCGGTAGCTCGGCCCGATCCTATGACCTGTACAGCGCCGAACTGGATGTGCATCGGGAGAAGCGGAAGCAGCGCAATTTTGGCAGCATGGCCGCCACCCAGGTGGTGTGCATGTGCCCCCTAATGATCCTCCGCTTTGCCCGGCTCTCCCTGGAGGAGACCTACGAGAATATGAAGCACTTTGACTTCACCTACCTGATGTTTGTGTGGGTGGCCTTCCTGCCCACGGTCATCTTTCCCTGCATCTACGCCTCCCAGATATTGCCCAGGTGAGAGGGGGAATCCTGAACATGGAAGAACTTTCAAGGAAGAGCTTGCTTTATCCTTTATCCTTGTGGTTCTTTTTGTTTCAATCTTTCCCAGAGACGAGCAGGAGCGTCTGAGGGGCTACTTTCGGCTCTCTTCGAAGAGGAAACAAAAGACTCAGCGTCGCAGCGATGCCGGCGGTTCTTGCGAGGATTCCATAGAGAAGGATGAGGCCTCCAACACCACCAGTGTCCATCATGCAGCCACCACTGGTGCCGGCAGCGAGCCTGGCCAGAAGCATGCTCCCAAGGTGCGTTACGAGCGAGAGCGTCAGCAGGGACATGGCGATCGCTACAGCGGAGCACCCCATAGACAGGGCAAGGATCGGGACAGGGATAGGGATAGGGATAGGGATAGGGATAGGGATAGAGAGAGGGATAGAGAGCGCCAGCGGGCTGGAGGACGCGGAGCAGGCGATGCCGGGGTGGTCAACAATCTGGGCAAGGATGTGCGCGGCAAAAAACACGATGTCAAGATCAACATCATCTCGGATGGTGGCCATGGTAGCACCACCACCACCTCCACCAACCCACACGGCCATGGACACCGCAAGCAGGCACTGAGCAGCAGCAGCAGCAGCAACAACCACCGGAGTCGGAATAATCCTGGACAGCGGAGCAGCAAGCTAACCGCCGCCACCGCCGCCGATGGCCTGTCCAATGTCACCGCCTCCACATATTGCAATGGCAATGGCAGCGCCACTGGCAACGTCCTCATCCCGGACGACAGCAGCACCAGCAACTATGGCGACGGCGAGGAGAGCTCCGTGGTGAGCAGCATGATGGTGCCGCCGCAACGCTGGCCGAGATCGGGTTCGGGTTCGGGACCTGGTCAACTGATGCGCCACAAGGATGTCTCCTTTAGCGAGTGCAGCAGCACCTTCTCGTCAAGCACCCTGGACCGGGATCTGGAGATCATGGACCAGCTGGAGCGGGAGCGCAGTATGGATATTCAGGAGATGCTGCAACGGGAACGGGAGCGGGAAAAGCTACGCGGTGGCGTTGGTCGCCAATTACCGGACATCGAGAAGCTCTACGCCCAGCGTTCACCTAAGGGTAAGCGGGGCGAGGCCGCCGGTGCCGGAACGGTAACGGGAACTGCTGGCCTGGCCCTGGTCATGCCCGGCAGCGATCCCCTGAGCAGCCTCTCCCAGTCACAGTCCCTGTCCACGGAGTACAGCCTGTGCTCGACGCTGGAGCCACCTGGCTCCTCCGTTCTACCCGAGGAAGAGGTGTTGCGCAAGCATCTGGAGGAACTGGAGGAAGAGGAGGTGGTGCCGCCGGACTTCTACGACAGCTATACACCTGGCGGTGCCCAGAATCTGCCGCCTGGCTCTGCTGCCGCTGCTGCCGCCGCCGCGGCTGCTGTTGCCCCGCCCGCCTATCAGTATCAATACAGTCGCAGTCGGCTGAGCCGCAAGAGCTCCGGCTCCGGTTCGGGCCATCATAGTCACGGCCGGGTGGGCGCCGGCCACCATCATGGCCAGCATGGGGGCCTTGGTGGGGGGATTGGACGCGGCTCCAAGCGGGACAGCTTCAATTCGCTGAATGGCACCGATCTTATTGCTGGCGCTTTTTGCGAATTGGATCCGACGCAGCCGCTGAACAAGATGGCCGTAATCGAAGGCAGGATGCGGCGAAGCAGTCCGCGCAATGCCAGCTTCAGTTCCGGCTCGGGCGTGTCCGGACGGAGTTCGATGAAGTCGTCGTCGCGGGACTATGACTACGGTCACGGCTCCTCCTCGCACTCGGCGCATCCGGAGCTGGACTTCAGGGAGAACATATTTGCGGAGCTGTAAGAGGGTTTATATTTGGATATATAGAAGATATAGATTCCAAAAGATCAGGGTAGGGAGAGAGAGAAACGGAAACGAAAAGCTTTAGCAGTTGTTTGTTGGGCGCAGGAGTAGGAAGCATTCGCAGGAGTCCCAGGATTTTGCAGCGAATGTGGTTTTTGTAAGGGCTTAGAACTTGGGAAATTGGGATTTAAATAGAGGAATAAGATGCGTAACGCCAAACGATTCCCTTACAAAGAGAGAGAGAGAGAGGGAGAGCGAGAGCCAGTTATTCTCTTTTAAGTCAGGCTCTCACACACCCAAAGCTTTGTCTGTATGTGCGCCATGCATCTTATTCTTTATAATGTTTTAACTCAAAGAGAACATGATGAGTAAGATACATGACGCCTTACTATTTTTCTGAAGAGAGCGAAAAGAGGCAAAAAGAGAGAGAAAGCCAGTTGCTCTCTCACACCAAAACATTTGTTTATATGTGCACTATGCATCTTATTCTTTGTAATTTTCTCAATCAAAAAGAAACGAGCAAGATACATGACGCCTTACTATTCTCAAGAGAGCAAAAAGAGCCGGTATTCTGTCATCGCGCTATGCATCTTATTCCTTACAACGTCCTTGCCTAAATGCATAAGATACAAAGTAAAGTAATTTACAAGGCTACTTAATTATTGGAATACTTGGAACCAACTGGTTGTTGACTTAAAGATCATGATCAGTTGATCAGTCTCCGGAGTCTCGGAGCTGGAGATCGTTTAAGGAAGAGATGTAGGAGATTTGTAGAGCTTTCCAGCTCTGTCGAAGATTGTGCCAAGGAACGAACACACACATATTCCCGGAAGTATCTGGGGATCATTATATATATATACCGATAGTATATATACATATATATTGTCTTTTCAATGTTTGCTAAATTAAATTTGTCGCAGGGCAAGCCCTGTCTTTTTTAAAGTTGAAACTTTTCCAAGCTGCATCATATACATACATACCTATATGAAACACAAAACATATATATATTTATACACTAAATATATGCTAAGACATATTACATATTACCAAACCAAATGCAAAGTTTATTGAATGTTAAATTAAATAAGAAATACAAGGAATACAAACAAAAAATACCAAGAAGAATACCGAAAGAATACCAAAAATACCAGGCAAAGCATAAAAGAAACAAAAAATTGTAGCTTTTAAGACAGGGCAATTCTTCTGAGCCCCAAAGAATTGCGCCCACATGCACACAGCACACATAAAGACACTAAGAAACCAATTTGTTGGAATATCAGCTGTATATGCTCTACTTACTATATACTATATATGGTATGCGTGTGTGTGTGTGTGTGTATAGCATAAGTTAATTTTTTCTGTGCCGTTGTTGTGGATTGTGGATTGCGGATTGTGGCAATTGTTGGTGTGAGCGAGAAACTAATAAAAACAAATTTTATGTGAGTTGAACACACAAAAAAAAAAAACAAAAAGAAAAACGAATCTCTCTCTTGCCTGCAGTGCAGGGCCAATTCACCACCACGGGGCGTTTTATTTCTGGCCAAAAATGGGTTGGCCTCCCTTCCAGCACCTCGATAAAATCCGTGCAAATGCAGGGCGAGGCCGGAAAATAATTCGCAGGGCTATAAATGCGAGGCGCCTGGGGAGCTGGTAGTGGGGAGCCTGGAGCCTGGGGAATCCTGCCGCGGTGGCCGAAAAAGGAATAGGGTCAGTGAGCGAGTTCAAAAGTTCAGCGCGGGGTTTAACAGCCCCGAAAAACAGTCGCTCGCAGCAGCAGCAGCAGCCTCTCGGTTGCGGATTCGGATACGGATTCGGTTACCCGGTGACCCCCGTGACCCGTGACCTGACCCAGTAAAATGATTAAGTGCCGTTATTTAGCAGCTGGCTAGATTTACTTGGCTCCGCACAGCTCCACGCTCCCATTTCGAGTTCCACTTCCATTTTTTGTCACCATTTGGACTCATCTCCTTGTAGCCTCCTGCCTTTGTTGTCCTTTTTTTTTTTTGCATAATTTGTCCTGTTTATTTTGATGGCTTATAGAGGAGAAGGAGCATTAGGATAATCGTAAAACGACAAGCATTTCATTCGGAAAAGTCAACTTTAATGGAGAAAACACGAGCGGAAATGGTGGGGGAAAGCGGAAATATAAAAGTCTAGAGACAACCAGGGGCGTGGCAAGTCTTTGGCTTGGAATAGGGATCTTTTTAAAATAAAATGTATTTAAAAGTTGATAAGAATTTGTTTTTAAATGTATTATTATTAGTTTTCCCATGATAAAAGCTTTTATTTTGAACTTAAAAATAACTTAAAAGTTCCCAAATCTTAAAAATATCTAAAACCTTGACTAGACCCCCCTTGTAAGCCTTAACTTTGCGCCCCTGAATTAAATAATTCCCAATTCTTACAGGAGATGTAGCTGGAATGCAGCGGCATGACGACCCATGTCTGTTTAGAAAAGTTATGGGGATTACCCCAAAAGAGAGCATAAGACTTGGTGGAACACCCGGCTCTTTGGGTCACTTAATCCAGCCAAATGGACAACTTTCGGCTGTGTGAAATGCGCTTTCAATTACATGCCGAGCGTAATGAAATGCCCGCTAATAAATTTATGACTATCACGTATACGTATCACGTATACGCACCGCCGGCCACCGGCAGGTAAGGTAAGAGCTCTTAAGCTACTGCCATTACACTAACCACGTCTCCACGAGGCTTTCATAATCGTTTTGGGCCAGCCAAATCACTTTTGGGGCCATCAAAACTGCATTCCAATTGAGCCAATTTCTGGCGGCCTTAACCCCGCTTCCGGAAACGGATCAGATAGCAAAAGCTTTATATATTTTTGCAACACTTGTGCAATGCGACACTTACACGTGGAGAAAATTAACACCGTTAAGAAGGCAGTATGTCTCAATGACTATCATTTATTTAGCGGCAAGTCTCATAATTTCCTCTCAGTGCAAGCGTTTTCCTTTTTGGCGAAGAGGGGCACCTCTTCAGACATTCCCCTCACGTTCCTATAAACAACGTTTTATGCCGGTGTTTATGTTTAGTTTCTGCCCCAGCAGGGGGCAGGGGGCCAGGGGAGCTGCGGGATTGTTATGTAAGTGCCAAAGAGCATATTCAATTTGAATTGGAATCGGAATTGCCATCTCCATCTGCACGTCCCCGCCAACACAGCGCCCAGGCGTCCCTTGTACTATGGGGCAAACGTTAAGTTTTTGTGGCAAAAAAAAACTTCTTTTAATAAAGGCAGTAATTTGTTGTTTAAGAAAATATATATATTTTAAGTAAATTTTCATAATAATACAAAGCACTTTACATCTACAATTTAATATGTATTTTTAGAGCATTAAATTCTAGTTAAATTCTTAGAATATTAAAGCGTTTTTTCGCACTTTCTTTCAAATTTAACTTTAAAGGTTTTAAATTACCCTTAAAAAAAAAAGAAAAATTAAACATTTAAACTGGAAAAATTGCTAAGAATAAATATTCCAAATTTGGTATCAAAACCAAAAAACTAGCAAGAAAAAATCTTTGGAAAGCCGAATGTTTATACCGTTGCCCCTTATAAAATTTTAAAAAAATGCTAACAATTTATTTTGGGCAAATCAAAGATTCAAAAAATCATAAATACATTAAAAAGCATTAATTTCAATTCAAAATTAAATTTTAAATTTAATAAAATATCAAAATTTTTGCCTAAATATTAAGTTTTATTAACTGTAGTTATATTTTATTAAGTTTTATTAGCTAGAGTAATAACATTAACTAATTCAACTTACTAAAGCAAAGTAATAGGGTATTAGCATTTTAGTCAGAGAAAATGGTTAATTTGCCCCATAGTGCATTGTGCTGCGTGCTTTTCGTGTTTACTTCTGCTTTTCTGCGATGGCTCTGTTATTGTTATTATTGCTTATTCCATATTCCGCACGCATTTCTCCATTGCGACGGAAAAGTTTAAAGAAAGTTGTACACACCGAAAGGCGAAACAAAACAAAGTCACAAAATTTAAATAAAAATACAATTTGGTGTATTATAATAATATTAATGGAAATAATAATGGAAATAATATAGGCGACAGCTGAGAATCTATTAAGGGAGTTCTAAATACTAAAGAAATAGATGAAGTTTTTGATATGATTTGGCTTTACAGGTGATGTAAGTATATATTTAAATTTTAAGTCTTGGAGTACACTGATTTTCACCTTGTTTCTTAAATTACTTAACGAAATAACAGATAGAGTAGCGCCTGGTATTTATTATTTATTTTTTTTTTGCAATTTGAATAACTGAACAATGGCCCCAGGTAAGTCGTGTATAAAACCAACAGACAATCGGCCTGCGCTGCACAGTCAACCAACGACTTTCGAGCCAATAACGAGCCACGGGAGACGACACGGGCCCTAAGTTACCAACGCTTTCAGTTCCTCTAAGAAATCCTCAAAAGAAATGCTTGCCGTGGCCTTGATGATGGCAGCCTTGGTGCTGGCCAGCCAGCAGGATATCTGTGGGGCGCAGCTGTCCATTCACACGGACAGCAACACCAACTCGTTTAGCCTGAAGGCACCCGGCCTGCAGCAGACCTTCACCAGGTATTACGGGGCGGCCAGGCAGCAGCCACAGACGCAGGTGCAGGTGCAGGAGGCGGAGCAACCGCAGCAGCAGGCTTTACTCCAGCAGCAGCAGCAGGAGCAACTGGTGAGTAAAGGAATATTTTCCCAAAAGTTTCTAGATAGAAATACATCAGCAAAACAAAATACAGCATTTCTATAGAAAAATTCTCTTCTTAATTTCTGTGACACTTTAATTCCCAACTGGTATTGGTTTGAAGTTAAAGGTTCTTCTGGGTATGTCTCCTTGTTTATAGTTCTTTCTCTACCAAGTATTATTTCATATATATTATAAATCAGCATCAAAAGCCGTGTCGATTAAGCCAAGTCCAGTTGAAACAAAAATCTATAACGTATAGTTCATCCTATACTTCATTCCACGTCCAGCCTAGAGTTTAGTTTTGAATAAAAAATCATTCGAGCGCCGCCTGCGTCCCATGGGCAACTGGGACATGGCTTCGCCAATGCCCAGATTGAGTCCTCCGGATATCCTTTGGCCCAAAATCTCGCCACTCAGGTCGTGTCGCAGTCCGCCGCCGGTTTCCGCCAGCTGCTGCAGTTGACCCATGCCCAGCATCATGCCCGTGCCGATGTCCTGTTAGCAATTATCTCATTATCACTTCTAAGCTTGGCAAACTCTCACCTGGGGCCAAGGCCAGGCGGCAGTGCAGGTGGCCAGAAGGAGCAAAGTCAGAGCAGGCGATGTCATCTTGGTTAGCCGGGGAACCCAACTGGCCATTGGATGGGCTTCAAGCCGGGCTTATAAGTTGGCCAGGCGTGCATGTTCCGGGCCAGAGATATAACACAGAGATTAGATTGGAGGTTACATCACAGATCTGTAGCAAAATGACCGCCTGGCATGCGAGCTCTGACCACCGCCTATAAAAACTATTCGTTTTATTGATTGCAAATGATATTTTTCGATATATATTATTTTATTAATATATATTTTGTTTTGAAATTGCAAACAAAGAGCCAGCTAGTGGGCAGAGAAGACCTCGTTGGCCGCATTGGGATCGGGGGAGCCGGCAAACAGGTTCTTCAGCTCCTCGAAATAGTTCTTGAAGGAGTCCACCATCGACTGCCAGGCCTGGGTGATGTTCTGGCCAAACTCCCGGGCCGCGTCACCTATGCGCTTGTCCAGCCGCGGAACATCCGGATAGACCAGGTGCGGTCGCACATCGTCATACTCGTTGGAGTAGTCCATTTCGTAGTCGGGACCGCCACCCTGGGCCCAGGCGAGGGTCATTAGAGTCAGGAGGGTCAAAGCCACAATTAGTGGGGCAGCATGGCTGCTGCTGCTGATTCCGTTTCCGATTCTGGCCGACATTTGGGCAACTGATGTGGCCGCCCTTTTGGAGGCTGGCTTTTGTACTGGTGCCTCCAATCGGATGACAGATAATATCCATGTCGGTGGACACGGAAACACTGGCAGCCGCATGTTCAGATGCATCTAACCCAGCGGGCCGGAAGTGCCAGTTGTTTGTTCATCGTGACTTGGCCGGATGGCAATCTGTGTCGTAACCACAAGGCTTGTAATTAGTTCATTGGTTTTCATAACTAGAAGAAATCTGTTTCAATGGGATAACTTGTGGCTCTAAAAGTAGTTTTCTGAAGTATTATTTTGAAAGTTGATTTTGATTTTGTGAGGGGAACTCTGGGCCGCTGAGGTTTTAACCCGGCAGAGACACAGAGACGCTTCCTTACATTGCGCCCGAGCAAATGACTTCAGAGGTTTGCCAGCTTCTGACTAAAACTATAATAATATTTTAATTTCAATAATTCAGAAATTGCCCAATGAGAACTCTAAGTATTCCAGGCCTTCCTGTGACCCCTTTCTGACCACTGCCATTTCCCTCACTTTAAAAATACTTTTTGCAGCTTTGATTGCTCTTCCGGTATTCCATATGCACACTTTATTTTATTGCACTTAAAAAACAAACAAAAAAATATATATATCATTCTCATCCTTATCCTTATCCCGTTGCACTGGCCGATTCGGTGATCTTCTGGCGCATCTGCTGCACCACATCCGTGACATTGTCCACGAACGAGAGCCACATGCTCTTGATGCGATCGCCCAGGCCCAGCGCCGCTTCCGGGTTCAAGGGGTTCTGGGACTCCGCCTGGCGCCTTCGTCGCTGCAGCTTCTTCTTGCCACTTGTCTTGGGACTGACCCGCGAACGGGAGGCATTGTTGGCGGCCCGCTTTCTAGCAGCTCGCCTGCGACGCGCCTCCACATCATCATCGGCGGAGGCCGCCGTGGTGGCCATGCTGGACATTTTCCAGAAGCAGGGTGCTCGCTTGGTTCGATGCACCAGGCTGGGCAGGCTACGGCGGCGTCGTCGATCCTCTTCATCGGAGGAATCCGAACCTGATGGTTGCCTCATGGCATCGCCATAGCCTACCGCTGTCTTGGATCGCAGCGACATCAGCGGATTGTCTATTTCCATGTTGCGGCTCAGGGCGGCTCCGCTTTGGACAGCCTCGGCGATATTCCCGGCCAGACTCATGGCGCCCAGGCTGAGGCTATCGAAGGGATTCTGGGGCCGGGCCCTGATCCCGGCCATTGCCATTAGCGCCAGTAGCAGTCCCAGCAAAGCTTTCATCTTGCCAACGACGACGACTGTTTGGGCGGTGTCAGAGCAGTTGGACCCTTTTTAAAACCCGCTTTGCGTGACAATTCCAAACGAAACCAGATCGGTATCGGTCTGGGAATAGAGATGGAGTCGGTTCTAAAGGCCAGATCGCAGATCCGTTTCGGACAACCGATGTGTGTCAACGGGTAAAAAGTCAGTGTCACTTGCCCGCTCAGTCCGTTTACAGCGGTTGGTTTCACTCCACTTTCGACAACGATTTTAAATTGAAACCGACATGTTGTTATTTACATTTTCTTTATGTATATATTTCACTTTCTCTCCGCAGATTCAACAGTACCGACTTTCCAGACTCCGTTCCGCCAGCAAGCCGAAGATCGAATCCTCGTTCTTTTCTGCTGCTCAGCAGGAGCATCAGCAGCAGGAGCAGTTGCAGCAGCAGCAGTTACAGCAGCAGCAGTTACAGCAGCAGCAGTTGCAACAGCAGCACTTGCAGCAGCAGCACTTGCAGCAGCAGCAGTTGCAGCAGAACCTCTTTGCTGGTACTGGAACCGGAGCCGGCTTCTTTGACTACCAGCGCCAGCGCGCCGAGTTTGAGCAGCAGCAGGCGCAGCAACAGCTGCAGCAGCAGCAACAGTTGCAGCAGCAGCAACAGCAGCAGCAGTTCCTGCAGAACTTCTACAACTACAATTCTGGTTCTCAAATACCAAATACCCAATTCCAGCCCCAGGTCCAGGCTCAGCAGCAGCAGCAGCAGCCGGCCGAGGGTTTCCAGCCTCTGTTCCAGCGCCCACAGTTTGGCAGCAATGGCCTACAGCCCGGATCCGCACCACTACGCTCGGTAGGAGCTGGCGATTTCTATTCGTCGCAGCAACAGCAGCAGCAACAACCGGAACAGTTCGCCACCAACCAAGTGGCGCCCACCAGCCGTCAGAACCTTGGCTTGCCTGCGCCCATGTCCTCCAGTGTCCCCACCTTCCAGCCCTCGTCGGATGTTTCCCATGTCAGCTTCTCGAGTGGAAATCTCAAGTACAACTTCTAGTGGAGGTGGCCAGAGTATATTAGTTTTTTTTTTTTTTTGAAACTATAATTTTATCTAGTATTAAATTTTTTTTGCTAAATTCGACGCTTGAATAAAATTACCTAAATATTTTATTAATTTCGTATATTAAACTTTACATAGATTTTCCACTACAACTGACCTGCTATGGCATGTCCTTGGCCACGGCATGGGGTACATTGTACATCAGTGCCAATGTAAACAGCAAGAGGAACGCGAGCCAAGACACAGGAATTGCATTAGGACGACCCGCTGACTTGGCCCCCATTTGGCAGGACATGAATGGCCAAACAAGGCATCATAAGGCGCCTTTCCGGGGAAAAACAACAAGTGTGGCCAAGAGGGGCAGCTGATTACATCCAATCTGCACACCGCTCCCCTCCAGATTCCAGATTCCAAAGGCGGGCATTCGAAACTAATTCAATTAGAGAGCAACATTCATCATCCCTTTGTGAGCAACATCCTCGATAGGCCGGAGAGGGATATTAATTGGAAAAACAAAGGGGAGTGAGGAGCAAAGGATCTCCCCTCCTATATCGACATATTTGCATGGAAAATTCCAAATCAAATACACAGAAATATGCAAAAGAAATTGGGAAATGGCGCAACTAGTGGGGAATGAGGGGGAAGCAGAGCAAACACGGTTGCCAAATAAGCCCACGTGAGTCCTGTGCGTGCGTAGGACCACATCCTGTTCATTTCCCCAAACAAAACGCTGCTGAAGACTGGAGACAAAGGCAAACAAAGGAAGAGAGAGAGGGAGACTCTTCCGGGTGGGGAGGAGGTGGGTTTTGTTGTTATTATTGTCAGGACTAGTGTCCACCTGGCCACCTGTAGCCAGGATACTGCAACAGCAATAACCTCAGACACTCTCCAGTTTGGTTTCCTAATTAGCTGCATAATTAGGAAATAACTTTTCAGCCAAGTGCCAAACTGACGACAGTCCTCGAGTGGCTTCGTGCTCGTGCTCCTGCTCGTGTCCTTGCGCGCTTGTTCTCCTTCTCGCTCTCATAAAATGAGGTCCTGCAACCCGAGAAGCGGGTAATTTACAACTGCTCGAGTGTGGACGAGCAGCCAAGTTATTAACGTGCTAGAGATAAGTGAATAATATACGTTAGTCAAATGTCAACGGGAGTAAGCCATTAACCAGTCAAAGGACACTGATCGAAGGACCTGCTAAGAGTAAATTTAAAACAAATAAATAAATAATTAAACGAATATATTATATAAAAACATAAAATAACATTTTAATTAACGCTCTGGGAACCCCATGAAAGGAGTGTTTATTTATACCTTGCCTCCCACTTGCGTCACTGTTTATGGCACTGAGTGGCGTCACATCCCGCATCCCTCGGAGAGTTATCCTTGTTGAGAGTTATCCTTGTTGATGGCTCTTAATGCCATCCAGCTACCGGGTCAGCACATCGCTCAACTTTGGGCCAACTCTGACTTTCACTCGTTGACATTTTTGATGCCACACATTGCTGTGCAGTATTTTTGGGTATGAGACCAAAATAAACGGGTTATCATCTATTTCAGGCCATGTGCTATGCCCGATGTGACGTAAATTGCTTTTCGGGGCCGCTTTCCACCACTTTCACTTGCCATTTGGCGGGGCTCAATTCGTAGTATTTATGGTTCAGGATATAGTACAGTGCGCTTCATTACTAGATTACTTTGATCTTTTTATAGCACAAGAAATAAGTGTAAGATTGGGGAAATTTATAGTTAATAAAAAAGAATGAAATGCATTAGTCTGCTTGATTCTTTTTAATTGTAAACACCTCATTTTTATATTGCGCGCTTTGGTGTGACCAGCTATCGATAAGAGACCGATCGTAGACTTAAGTTGGATTTTGTAAAAACGAAGGGACGGTCACTTTTGGATTTTGTTAAAATGTAAGAACAACATGTTTTGGATCGCAGAAAAAGAAATTGTGTTATATAAAAGCCATCCGTTGGAAATATTAATAATAAAGATCTTGGGAGTTTACATATATATTACAACAAATCATTTATTAGAATACAAGGTTAAGGCATTTTTCGTCAATTTTTTTATTTGGGAAATTGTTTACCAATCATTGTGAAACTTTGAAGATAGTTAAGAACGAAATCGGATATAAAACAAAAAATTTGTTATAAAAAATACCATAACCGAAACTTATGCTCATGAAACGCACTGTCTAGCCAAAGTTATGGGGTCGGGAAGGCGTGTCGCGTTATGCGCCATAAAGTATGCTGATCAACTGATGCATGGCAAATAAATCTCAACGCTGCACCGTATCCCTATCATATCATATATCATATAGCGTGACAGGGGGTCCTGTATATAGTATACTCCCCACTCCCCCCTCCATGTTGTCCTGCATTTTTGGGTCAGTTATAACAATGAGTTTATTTTTTGTTTTTTCCAACATTTCCACATGCATTTCGTTTCAGTTTACAAAATATGTTTAAATAAAACGTAAATTCAACCGCGATAAAAAAAAAATGTATGACACACACACTCAGTTTGGGTTTGGGTTTTGACTGGGGATTAGGTTCTGGGTGCATGCGCCAGGTGTGGTTCTGGCCAGGTCGCAGGTCACAGTTCAGAGCGTGTGTTCAGCTCTCGGTGCAGTTAACAAATTGAGTTTTAATTAAGGCGAGCAGAGCTACCGACACGCTCTGGGTATTATTGCTCCTATTAGTAGTGGAGCTCGGTAGATGCCAGCCCGGTAGACACCATTCCACTCCCAGTCCCTGTCCCCCGTCATGGCATCTAGTAGCCATAGTGAATGCCATGGCCGGAGACCGATGTGTGTACCAGTGCGGGTGCGGCAACGGCGGCCCTGCAAAATGAATGAGTGGAGGCGGTGGCGATTAGGGGCGGCTTGTTAATAAGGTCCTGGACCTAGACCTGAACCTGGACCTGGACTCGGTCTCTACTCACTTCACCACGGGAGCGGCCAGGTGCGTGGCATAGGCGGGGGCGGCGTAGGCGGGAGCAGCATAAGCGGGGGCGGCCAGCCCGATGCCGTGTCCAATGATTCCAGGAGCTGTGAAAGGCACAGAGAAGTTAGCTGGTTCTTTTTTTTTTTTTTAATGCAAATACAAAAAGCTGGGCCAGACTGAGAGAGACATAAGGAGACGACGGATGGACAGAGACAGATTGCCGGGGCCTAGAGATGGAGTCAGGGAGGAGCTACCCCAAATTAGCATCGTGTCCATTGTTTGGACAATATACTCTCCCTCTCTCTCTCTCTCTCCGGCCTTCCTTTAGGCTCCCATCCCCCACTTAAAGGTTGTCAACGGCAACCACCTGACAGGGCCAAAACAACACTTGGCTTTAAAGCGGCACAAAAGCTTATTAACTGGAAGTTCTATTTACCAATAACAACCACTACCTTAATATGCAGTTAATTATATATAAGATATACTTTGCTTTTTTTTTATATTTTAAAACTAATATTTGTACAATTTTGTTTGTAATGAGAGGGTCCCTATTTTACCTCAAACCTTCTGATTTATCAACTAAAAATATAAAATTATTGTTTTAATATTATATAATAATAAATATAAAAACCTGGCAACTGGGCGTATACGTAATATTTACTTTTCATCTGAAAAATATAAAATATACGCCATGTTAACTTTATAAGCATTAAAAAAATGTGATTAATCCGGTTTCATAAATTAAAAAATATATAACATAATTTTTAAAATGATCTAATAAAAAATATAAACATCTGTCATCTGGTCGTATACGTAATATTTACTTTTCATCTACAAAAATATCAAGTACACGCAGTGTTACCTCTATAGGCAAAAAACGTGGCGATTTAATCAACTATTTAAAAATATGAAGTAAAAGTTTTGCTATGAATAACTGGCATCGGGACGTATAAGTAATATTCACTTTTTATCCTAAAAATATCAAGTATACGCTGTGTTACCTTTATAATTAAAAAAAACCTTGATAAATTTGCGGTTTAATCAACTAATAAAAAAATATATAATTAAAGTTATGATATGATAAATTGAAAAATAATTTGCATCAGGACGAATAAATAAAAAATAATAATAATACCTAAAATATCAATTATACGCTATGTTACCTTTATAAGTAAAAAAAAAACCTTGTGATTTATTAAAAAAAATATATATATACATAAAATAAATCCCTAAATATTTAACAACCTTTTTTCCCAGTGATCCCAAATCCGCAAAAGAGCCTCTGACCAACATCAATCAAGTGACACCCAATGGGAACCGGTGACTCGCCGTTTCAGTGATTGGGTGACTCGCCGCTGCTTGGTTCATGCAGTTTTCCCAACACCAAAGTGTGGCAGCCTCGATTTGTAGGACAAGCCATGGAATGGTCTCCGATTCTAGCTAGCCGCTTTAAAGTCAGTGAATGGGACATAGGGAGGGTCTATAGGCTAGGCACATGGCCCTAGGCCCTAGGTATGAATGATTGATTACTTGCCGGAATCCCCCACATCTCCCAAACTCCCCTTAGTAGTTATATCTGTTTTCCGGCAAAGACAAATCGATGGCAGACAAACCCAAAACAGATTATGCCCTCCAGTGGAAGGGGTTCTATCGATTGACCTTGGGTTGGGAAATCTTTCTTTGGGATCTCAATGATCTCTATTGATCTAAGGAACTTGTCCATGTAGTTTTCCCATTCAAGCTATCTATAGGGAAGTATATCATCCCCTTAGGGTATCCTTTGATAGCCCAACACTATCCAATATCTCAGGACTCTGACCTGATGAAGCGTAACCAAGCTGGCGGAGAAAAGTTTACACACAATAAGGTTTTTGTTTCTATCCCCCCACGGAAAGACTCTGAAAAATTAGTTGAAAGTCGTAGAGGAAAATACACAAGAGGGATAAACAGAAGCGTGCGGAGAGTGCGGTTAGTGTGTGTGAGGATTAGCGGAGGAGAGTCCGGCTAAAAGGAATTCCGTATACCGGTAACCTACCGTAGGACGGAGCGGCGGTGTACTTCACAACGGGAGCAGGAGCTGCAATTTGATATCCGTGCGAGAGCTGGGCAGGAGCGGCAGCGTAGGAGCTATAGCCACCATGGAGATAGCCTCCGTAACCTCCGTAGCCGCCATAGCCGCCCAGTCCCAGGTGTCCCAGGCCGCCCAGGTGTCCCACGCTGTGTCCCAGTCCGGAGATCTGAAGAGCCGGTGCCGTGGCCGCATAGTGTCCGCTATAAACCGGGGCGGGGGCATGGCTGGCGTAGGCCAAGCCCTGCACCTGGATCTGGGCGGCGGGAGCCGTGTGGCCCAGTCCCAGGGAGTAGGCTGGCGCAGCAGCGATGGCATGAGCCGGAGCAGCTTTTTTTTTTGGTTTTTTTTTTCGGTTAAAATGTTAAAAATCAACTAAACAGTGATGGTAGGTTACTAGGAAAGGTGTGTACCTGGTCTTAAGGTTTGTTTTTACTTTTAAATACAAACTGCTTGCAGTAATTATAAGCAGAGGTCGGGCAGAGATATTTTCCAATTTGCAAGATAAGGAAGGCAAATAATCTCGATATATTTGATACAGTATTGATATTTAAGGGAAAAGTTCATATAAATATAAAGGAATTTTACAAAGTATATGCACGATATATCTATAATATCATTGATAAATATCAGACTTATATAATTGAAAAATTAAAAAAAAAACAACAATTAAATAGTATTCCATGAAAAATTATCGATTATAGTGATATTTTCATGTCAAATTCAATATTAATCGATATTTAAAATTGAAAATAAATAAAAGTTATCAGTACTTTCAATAAGATATATATATACATATCATAACTGACATTTTCTTTCATTCTTTCTTTCTTTCTATTTATTTCGATCTGTCAATGTTTATATATATTATTTTTAATGTATATATATATTTAATATATACATTATATATTTTTCAATATATTATATTGGACTTTTCCTATCGATATATGAACATCTCTACCCGTGAATCTGAACCCTGCCTTAGAATTTGTATGGGGGAGTTATCATTTCTATTTTGTTTACTTTCTATTATCTGGGGTATCTTTTTCAGGTTTAAATTCTATATAGGATATAGGATATCTTCATACTAGACATATATCATATATATCTTTACGATCTTGAATGGAGGCAACCTAACCATCACTGCAACTACGTGCAATTACGATTTAAAGTGGTGGCGTGAGTGACTGTGAGTGGCTTGAACTTGGTGCTTGGGTGGTGCTTGGGTGGTGGTGGTGACTTGAATCTGGGAACTGGTGTTCTGTGGAGAATCTCGAGAGCTCTCTCTCTCTCTCTCGACTCAACTCACCTGCATAGCCGTGAGCGGCAACGGGCGCCAGACCGGCATCATTGCTGATGCTCGAGCGCTGGACGTGCGACTGCGAGTGTGCCGTCTGCACTTGGCTGGCGTAGTCCGACTGCGAGGACTGGCCGTAGTGACCCTTCACCGTGTGCTCCTGTGTGCTGCCCACGGAGGCATGGTCCACGCTGGGGGCACTGATCGAGTAGGCGGCAGGACCGCCAGGCTTGGCCTGGACGGCGATCGCCAGCAGAACCATGCAGAGGAGTACCTGCCAAAGGAGGGCGTAGTATGAGAAGGTTATAGTAGGATGCAAATGCGCAATATGGTTAGCTGACAATGTACAGTTCCTTTGGGTGTTTCCTTAAGGCTGCAGGGGAAATTGCAGGCGTACAAACTTTTAATTAAGTTGGCAAAACTTCTGGGTGGCCTTGGAGGGAGCCAAGCCAGGTAGCCGGGGAGCTGTGAAGATGTCTATCGCTTAGTCGAGAGACCTACAAGGCTGCCCAGGTGAAATACTGCAAATCCTTACACAAACAGACTATTAACTCTTGAAACAAAATGACCTAAGTAGTTTCATAAATATATAATTGTATTAAAAGAAGACTTTTTGAAGGGGAATAAAAATGGTAAAGATGGCTAGGAGATATTAAAAGAAAATATAAATAAATCTGAAGGTGTTTTGAGAAGCTCCCTGAAAGAGGAGTAATTAATTAAAAGGACTAAAAAAACTCAAAAGAATTTAGAGGATACTTTTTCTTAGAGTTTTGCCAGCTTTTCTTTTCCAATAAATATTATTTTTCAGGTCTTTGCACATTAAACTTGTTTGTTTTAGGTTTTAAATGATTCTAAAGTTAAGCAAGGACCTTTCTAAGGACCCTCTGATACTCCATTTTCAAATATGACCCCCATTAGCTCTTGCTATAAAGCTGGCCAGCCACTCTGATTCCCATTTGAGTTTGCCTTGGACTCTGAATTTGAATTGAAGTCGAGATTTTGGAATGCACTTTCAGTTTGGCTGAGGTCAGCTTGTGGTTGGACTTGGACTTTGAAGTTGGGCCCCAAAAGGGACGAAACACGCTTGAAACTGACAGCTTGACAGGGCGTCCTGTTGACAAGTGAAAGGACAACAACTGCAGGCGGCTATGTATCTATATATATCCTTTGGCTGTTACTGTATCCACGCACCTTGAAAGCCATTATTGCTAACGTTATCCTTGTTGCTAGTTAAGTTCACTTGAAAAAAACGGCTCGACTCAGTTCGATTGGATTGCGATTGTTAACTGCTTTGGACCGCCGTTCTTGGGGCCTATTTATACGCGAAATGTGGTGCAGTTATGAAAAAAAAAGGCAAAGAAAAACTGAGAAAAATAAAAGCAGAACGGGTTTTCCCTCAGTTGGCAAAGCAGGCAGCAGCAGCAGCAGCAAGCTGCAGCGTCAAACTCAAAACCAAAAAAAAAAAACACAGGCGCGCCACGCATATTCACCCCTCCCCCTCCGTCCACCTGATCCGCCCAAAGCTAATCGATCGCCTTTCGAGTTAATCGAATCGTTCGAATCAAAGCTCTTCGATTGTTTAATTGGAAATTTGTCGGCAGCGCCGGCACTTGTCCCCCGAATGCGGCAGAAGGAAGTACCTCCGATCCACTCCCATTGAACTCTTGGGTTAGGTTTTCAGTTAAGAGTTAACTATAGTTAGCTGACATTTTTAATAACAATGAAACACAGTTTGGAAGTCACTGTACTATGGCCTGAACTGGGAATTGAAAGCAGCAAAATTTTATGGAAGTTATTATATTAAATAGCTTTAGTTATTAAAGAAAATATGTTGCTATAGGTCCACGATTCTAGGCTAAAAAAAAAACTTTGGAAAGCCGAATTTTTATATAACCTTGCAGTGGGCCATAGGTTCAAGGCAATGAATCCAAAACTGATTATAACTAAGCCAAAAATGCATTCATTTTAATTTTGAATGCTTTTCTAAGTTAGTTTTTAGAAAAGTAAATCTAATCTTCATACTAAATTAAAAATTTTATTTTATATTTTTTTTATACCATTTTTTTTTTTTGACAAATGAAAATGTCAAAAAATCTTAACATCGTCAAAAAGCAATTCATTTCAATTCGGAAAGCTTTGTTATGTTAGTTTTTATTAGGCTAACAAATTTGCATACCAAATTTAAAATCTAAAACATTTTAAAACTAGCCAATTTTTGAGAATTTTAAATTTTGAAAAAATTTCAACAAATACAATATATTTATATATATTTTCCATTTTAATTATTTAATTTATTTATAAATCAGTAAATTTATAATCACATATATGATATATTATAGCTGTATATATTTTATTTATATTAATTTATTCCAGGACCCTTTAAACTTTTACTTTTTTTGTATTTCCCAGAGATTTAAACTCTATAGACTCTAGTTCTTGGATTATCGCTTCTCACAAAATATCATTCACGTGGCTCTTGTCAAGTGTTTTTATTAATGGCCCCGATTTTCAATTTTCTTTTTTTTTTTTGCCATTTTCCGTTTTTCTACACCGCACCGCACCCTGGTGCGTGCACATTTTCCAAGCCCAGCCTGCACACATTTTTTTGCCCCAAACTTTTTTGGTGTTTTGGTTGGGGCCAAAAAATATACGGTTTTTGTGATACCCTGGAAATATGTAACTATGGTTTTGAAAGGGAATATATATTGCAGATTATTAGAAATACAGAATAAAAATAAGTTTTAATTAATAATGATTTATAAATATATAAAAAAAATTAATATAATTCTATATTCAATTCCTAAAATTAATTTTGGGGGATTTTTTAAATAAATTTATTAAGAAATGTATTATTTATTATTATTTTGAAAGAGAGAGGAAGAGAGTTTTTATTAAATTTCTAACAAAAATATATATATAAATTATATATTTATTATATTATATATTTATGATGTAAATTTATATTTTATATTCATGAAATCGTACATAAATTATTATTATAATTTGTTTACTATATTATATATTTATATTTATATTTTATTTAAAAAAAATATAAATCGTATATAAATTATTATTATTATTTTTTAGTATATTATATAATTATATTTATATTTTATATTAAAATAACATAAATACATATTTTTTAAGCTTTTAACTATTTTCTATTAATTTAGTAAAATAATATTTGGCTGAGACATTAATTTATAAATTCCAAACGTCTAACGTTGAACGAAAGCTTTTTATAATAAGAAGAAATCTATTTAGATTTATTTATTTATAAAAAAAAAGTTTATAAAAAACTATAAAATTTGTAAAGGCTTTTTAAAATATCTTATTTAATAAATAAATTATTTCCAAATAAATCCAAAGTCAATCTTCTTAATGTTATAAGTCTTAGAAGGTATCTCTTGAACCGAATATCATTTGTTATGTGTCTTTTTTTTGCTGGTTCTCACGCAGCCACCGCCGAATGGGCGCGGAAATTGGGCAGCCAGATCGGATTGGATCGCTGCGAGTGGGAGCTTGGAGCTCGGAGCTCGGAGCTCGGAGCTGAGGACTTGCAGACCTGGCTAAGCGTTTCGAAAGGCAGCTCCAGCTGAAGTGGGCCGCAGACTGGGAGGCCTTTTGGCGATTGTGTGTTTTTTGATTTGCGATTTCTGATCCATGGCCCAAAGGCTGGTTAACAATTTTTTGTTTGTGGGTCGCGCGAGCGATTTATGCGCACTTTGTGCGTTGTCGTGACGAGGGACACTGCTAGCATATCTCTTATGTAATGCCCCAGTCCCAGTCCCAGTCCCAGTCTCAGCTGTACCCATATACTTACACACAGATTTCGATATTGGTTTCAGTTTTGATTTGGTTTTCGATTTCGCAACCAAGGCAATGCTGCTGCCGGAGGGGAAGAGTGCAGCCAACCTTGGGAATGGCAGATCCTTGAAGGAGTTAAGGCACAAGGAGGAGGTCATGAAAGCATTGCCCAAGTGAAGATGGCGCCACTACTTTTGACACTGCCAATACACACAAAGGACACACAAAGACGCCGAAGGAGCGAAGAGTCCTGCTGGTGGCACCAAGCACAAACTGCACGGCAAATAAAAATGAAGGGTAAATTCAGTCATTTATCTTAATAATTACTATTATTTAAAAAAAAAAGTATTTACACTTAATCATAAAATAGCATAGAAATTATCTATATTATATCATATATGTATATGTTACCTAGACTATTGTAAAAATTGCTCCTGTACAGTAACAGAAGAGAATATTTTACTGCACTTTTATTAAAGTTAATAAAAAATCGATATGTGAAGCGAAAATCGATATATAAACCAATATTTTAACGTTAGAATGTGCGCTAAACTGAATATTCATATAATAAAAAAAAAAAAAATAAATTTGACAAAACTGGTTAATGTATTTTTTTGATTGAACTTTGATATTTTAATGTTAAATGCGATAATTTATGATATTTGAAATTTAAATGTAACCAAATTCATAATATATTCCATATTATACCTATTGCTGTTGATACAAACAAAAGAATAGATGATGCTTTAACGTTTCAATATAATTATAATTATTATTATATAATATAATTATCGTATAATCCTGTGTTTGCCTTTTTCGGGTGTTATTGAGAACCTTAAGTAGATGTTACGAACCCCTGTAATCACCTTCATTTTTATATTTTTTTTAATTTTAGTTAATTTCTATTTATTTTTATTTATTTATATTTGTTTTTAATTAATTTTTTATTAATTTTTTTTTATTTTAATTTATTTTTTTATTTATTATTTTTTGTTTTATATATTTTAATTTATTTTATATTTATTTATTTTTATTAATTTGTATTTATTATTATTTTTTTTAATAATAAAATTGACGATTTTTTTTTCTTCCAGCCGGATATATATTTTGTTCTATACATTTTTTTCTAAAACCAAATCCAGCTCACTTATGTATATAACAGATATAGTTACCAAATAAATTAAATATTTATATAAATTAAATAAATATGTATACTTCTAAATAAGTAACCGTAAACATACATACATACAGGGACACATTAAACTTAAAATTATACTCAAACAGGCAAGATAAGTGAAAGCTTTTATATTTTAATAATTTCAAGAATCGAAAACTGTATAGATATATAATAAAATGCCTTTAATTATCTTAACCGCAATGCATTTCTTTTTATATATATTTTTTTTTTTAAGTGAAGTCAATTCCCCGATGCAGCGGCAATCATCGATTGTCATTGTTGATGAGCTCGAGCTTCCCTGGGCACTGCTCTAAATGCAGTCGCCCCTCCTCCACTCTCCTGTTGTGGTGGTTGTTAATGTTGTGCCATTGTGTAATGGCGTGATGTTTCAATTACCCGCTCCCCGCGATAAATGCTTACACAATGCCAGCTAGCATCGCATCGCATCGCATCGCATTGGACAATCTGCAAGCTTTTTGTCTCCGACATTAATTTGTATAATTGCACAGCCAATACAGGACAAGCTGGCGGAGTGCAGCGAGCCAATTCCTTTTGCCAGAGGACCAGCCCAACCGAGCAACCAGGCAACCCGCAACGCGTAGCCCCCCCCAACTGCCATGTCACCCGTCACGCTGTGGCGTCCAGTCAGGCGCAGCATTTCACGTCTATGTGGGTCACAAAGGCGCAGGCAGCGTTCCAAACAAAGCGAAACAAAGCCATCCACAAAATTCGAGATGGTTCAATATAGAAAATGGTATATCCTTCAGACAAACCATAGGAAAATGCCCTAGGGGTAGTAGGTTGTTTAGGTTTTAGCCCAGGTTTTTTTTAGTAACCCTAGTTAACCGTTTTATATTTTTAAAAATATTTATAAAGACATAACAAAAAGCAACCATAGATGGATAGATGAAACTTTTCTCTTACTACTTTCATTTCTCAACATCCAAGAAGGGTTATTTCAAATTAAAGGGTATCCTTGTAACTGACAACTTGAGTCGCTGTGGCTGCTGGTAAAACTGCTGTCCAGTCCTGTCATTGTTTCCATTCTCATTGTGGCTGCTTTTTGGGTGCTCTGTGTTTTCAGGGTTTTTGAGCCGGCGACATTTGCCTAAATACTTTCCCACACACACACAGAGAGAGACACCGCCAGCCATTATCACACATGCTGTATGCCACTTTTGTACATAGTTTGTCCCTACACTGGGCCGCCTTTTGTTGG